GTCGAACCCCACACCACACGGGCAAGCACGGCAGTGACTGCCTCCATCACCCCCTCCTGCTGTGCCTGCCCTCACTTCCCAGGCTGCCCCCACCCTGCCCTGTGGGACTGCCTTCATTGGCATTTTCTGGGATGAAGTGGACGGGGTTGGGGACAGTATATGAACTTTTCGTGTCTGGCCGCCACGGAGAAGCAGTTCCTGTCAGTGCTGGCTGTCATCATCATGCACTCCTGTCCCTGCGAGTGACATTCCAGAGCGACCACAACACAGGTTGTCCCACCACCTGCTGGCAGACGGGTCCCCGTCCAGTGGGGCTACTGCTTCCAGAACAGAGGATGCCCTGGGCCCCAGCCTTGACCTAGTCATCTATTCTTCTTATTTCAAGGGAGGGGAGCAGTCTATTGACCAGTGAATATGGGGTCATTTTTCTCCAACCATGTTTCCTGTTACAATTTGGGCTCTGGTTGAACTTGTCCAATATTGGGGAATTCCCCTGGATACATCACAGCCTGATGAGGAAAGCTAAGTCTTTGAGGGAACACAGGCAAGCGATCACTAGAGGTGCCGAAAGAACCGAGAGACACCAGGGGACATGAGGTCCTCTGGGGGAAGGGGCCGGGTCCTAGAAGCCCTGGGGTGAACAGAGATTTCCACAGCCGTACGGGGGGCATGCCATAGGGCACCATGAACCTCTTACAAGCACCAGGGAGGAGCAGGGCCAAGGCTGCTTCCACAGCCCCATCAGAGGCATTCTGAAATCCCAGGAGGGCCCACATTTGCTGAGGACAAAGAGGCAGTTGGTTTCCCAGGATTCTGGCCAATCTGGGTTATTGGGGTTGGAGGGACCATTTCCCACAATGAACCCCATACCATGCCATGCAGGGAACACTGGTTCCCCAACAAGACCCAGTGGCGCTTCCTGGACCACACTGAGCCTCCCTCCAGCACCCAACCATGGGCACCCTCCTTGTGGGTAACAGCTGGCTCTGTGCTTAACCTCCTTGATCTTCTCCCTCCCCACCGGGGGTCAGATGCCAAGTCCTTGTGCTGGCTTAGCACTCACCTTTGGAGTACAGGCAGGAGGTGGCTTCCCTGTCGGGCCTTTGCTCAGGTGGGGGTGGCAAGCCTGTGGAGGTGGGGCGCCGCTGCTGGGCCGGGGCGTCCGCACACACCTGCAAGAGACGGCTGACTTTTCATGTCCTGTTCCCAGCAGCGCTCGGAAAACAAACCTAGCTTTAGCTCAGCCTCGTAAACATGCAAAGGAAAACTGATCTAGCCCTCTCGCAAGATTAAAAGTATTGACTTTTCTCCACAAAACCACAAGCCTGTTAAATTAGCTCTCGCCACTCCGGGAGAGGCAGCACGGAGACACCAGGGACGTCTGTATGAAAGCCATTTAAGTGGTAGTGACTCAGGATCAAACACCCCCGTCCCTTGCGCGCGCGCGCGCGCGCACACACACACACACACACACACAGGATGGCAGTATCCTCATGCCTTGCACCGTTGAAATCCTTTTCTGTCGTATGGGCGGGAGAAACAACAGCGGAGGGACCAGCCAGCACCCTGCTTACTTGTGGAGAGAGCACCCTGTCCGGTGAGGGGAGGCTGGCCTGGCAGAGAATTCCCAAAAGGAAAACAAACCCCAGGTCCCCTCCCTGGAAATGCAATCCTCACATTTGCTGGGTAAACCCCCCAAGATACGGTCGGCCGGCCCGGAGCTCAGGGTACCTCAGTTTCTCGATGGTGTTTTTCTTGTTTGTAAACAGCACCTGTATCAGAGTCTTCCTCTTGAGGTAGACCACGGACCCCGCAGCGAGAAGGCACAGGGTGGCCACCAGGGCTCCAATGGTCAGGCTGTGGCGACCTGAAATGGAACAGGTGGTCTCCCATCTCCAGGCACCTCTCGGACGGCAAACAGAAGCGAAGGGGTCAGAGGGCGCCCCCACCAGCCAGCCTGGCTTCAGTGGGCTACGCCTGAGGCTACAGCTACTGCTCGTCTCCAGCAGCACGGGCCGACCGCCTGTTTTCCTCTGTGTGTGGGCCTGGGGGCGGGGGGCACTGAGAACCTCCCCTCTTTTATGAAATGGTGGCACGCATAGTTGGGGTGCGAGGCCCCTCCTGTCACCGAGTGTGGACGTTCTCATCGGTACAGGTAAAAGCTGCTGATTCCGCTGGGCCCGGGGTCTCAGGACCGCAGTCTTGTGGGGACACCATGGTCCAACGGTCTAACAGCTCACAGAATCTACCGTCTACTTTGGAAAGGAGCAAGCGTGGCCGGCACAGCTAGTGAGCAAACAAACAGGAGTAACTACCGGTCTCTCCCGTTGGGGGGAAAGAAGAGGGATCAGGCTCAAAGGTAACACGGAGCCCAGCAGACGGGGTGACCCGTGAGCATCGGTCTCCAGGACCCTGAGACCAGAACAACTAGATGGTGCCCGGCTACTGCCCGTGGCTACTGTGGAAGGGACCACATGGGAAGGTCCCAGGTAGAGGGAGGGAGAGATGTGGGGCGAAACTCCACACCGTCAAGGAGACAGACAATAGGTCTAGAAGGGGACCCCCCCCCCCACCTCGGGATGATCAGGAAGAGGAGGGCAGCCTCGACCCAAGGATGGACCCAGGCAGGGGCCACAGGAGAAGGTGGGATGAATGGGGGCAGATGGAGGGGACTGCCACTGAGGAGGACAAGGGGCATGAACCACTGAGTGTAAAACTACACCTTCTTCTCTGCAAACCTTCACTGAATTCTGTTGTAAAAACCGTAAGGAGCTGCAGACGGCAGGCTCACCGAACCTCAGCAGCAATGGCCATGCGGGTCCACACCGCAGAGACCCAGACGTGGGTCCCTGAGTGAAGAGTGGGAGGGGTGGCTGGGTCGGGCCGGCTGCTGGCAACAGAAGACCTGGTGTCCGGCATGCCCCCCTCATTCGGCCACACTGGAGTGTGAGGCAGGAGGCAGGGGACCACGGCCTGCCCTTCTCTCCTGGCCCTGAAGGGGACTGAGGACACGGTGGGGATGACTGGTCTATCAGCCAGTCACAGAGGGAGCTGGGATGGATGTCCTCTACCCACGGAAGCCTGACCTGGACCTCGGCCTCCTGTGTGAGGTGGCTACCGCTGTGCTGGATCTCGGCTTCCCCTCGGCCCCCCTCCCAAAGGCCCAGCCTGGGAGCAGTGTTGTGTCTGTTGCCATGGAGATAGTGGGGAAGCTCCGTCAGGTCCGCCAGCCAGCGCAGCAGGGCTCAGGGACTCCCCAGGCAGCCACGGCTGCTGTGCTGCCCGCCCTGTGCGGGCGCTGGCTCTGTGTGTCAGGCACCTTCCGTCGCTGACCCTCAGAGGGACCGCCTAAGCCTGGCCTCTCGTCGCCAATCCCATGATAGCTTAGAATCCCAGCCTTCCACAGACTTTCTGAAGCCCTCTGGTGTTGGGAGACCATTGGTAAAGGTCTTGCAAGCAGGCAAGACATCTGAGAGGCCAACCACAGCTGGAGCGGGGGTGTCTCCGGTGCCGGGCGAGCCTGGGAGCTGGTCTTAGCCGTGGGCCTGGAGGGAGTTTCCACACTTCCTCAGACTCCTTGTCAGTAAGGGAGGAACCACGCGTCTTACTTCAGACTGTGAGGACTGAATGAAGGGATGCATATAAACTGCGTAGCACGGGCCTGTGCCGAAGCATCACTCAGGATTGGAAACTACTGCTACTGCTGTGAGCCACGACTTTCACCGTAACCACCACCATCACGGTTACATCCCCACCGGCACCCCCACAATCACTGCTCCCATCACCATAACCACCACTACCACCATTATCATTACCACCACCAGCCACCTCTAATCACTCCTCCCTTATCACCAAAACACTACTGCCACCTTTATCATCACAACTACTATTGCCACTGCCACCCCACCCTCATATTCACTCCTCCCACCACACCCACCACCATCAC